TGCCTTGGCCTCTTGCTTAAAAATAAACCTCCTAGTTGTAGGACTTCCACTCAGCCAGCGTTCCTGTGGGTCTGGGTGATGTCCCTTCTGTCTTTTAGTTTCACTTTTGAAATGGTTGTTCAAGGCAGCAAACTTCGGCGTTAACCTATGCCGCCATCTTGGTTCTCTTCATCCCATCTTATAGATCTGCTGCTTCTGCTATGGAACAGATTTCTCTTTCCAAGTTCATGTGTTAGAAAAATGGCCATCATCAGTGATCCCAAGTTTACATCTGAGATAAACTGGAATCCATTTTTATTGGAGAAGGACTCTAGACCAGGGGTGAGCATATGGCCCAAGTTGAATGGATTCATCAATGGGCCGGAAGACAGAGACATATATTAATAGCTGCTTCCATATAATCACATGAGGAAATGAACAATTCTGATCAAATTAGCCAGGTGTGGGGAGGCCAAACAGTTGGCTGCTTTTGCAGAGGTACTGGTAGGATATTAAGTTGGAATTTTGGGTCAGAAGCTAAGGAAAGAAAAACCCCAAATCTATTTTTCTGCCCAAATTTGTCTCTAATTCAGATACCAGTTGATTGAAACCATTAAACATGTTGTCAAAAAAATTAACCATTTTATTCACATTCTTGCTAGAAATTGAAAAGTTACACAAGGATTTTTTTTTAATATATTTTATTGATTTTTTACAGAGAGGAAGGGAGAAGGATAGAGAGTTAGAAACATCGATAAGAGAGAAACATCTATCCGCTGCCTCTTGCACATCCCGGGGATGTGCCCGCAACCAAGGTACATGCCCTTGACCGGAATCGAACCTGGGACCCTTGAGTCCAAGGCTGAAGCTCTATCCACTGAGCCAAACCGGTCAGGGCCACAAAGGATATTCTTTACAGTTTCATCTTAAAACTCCTATGGCACCAGATGAACCAAACCATCTCCTCAGATCTCTAAGACATATTTGAAGTAGGCTAGAATGCTCAAGACCTGAATAGACTGTGTTCATGAACTCAGATTGCAGTGGTTGAAGAGACAATGCATCAGCAAACTCCATATCTGCTCCCGTATTTGTTTGGTTCTCAGACCATAGATAATGGGGTTTAAAGCAGGTGGGATGACCACATATAAGTCAGCTAGCAGCACTTGGGTGTGCAAAGGCACTATGTCCTGCCCTAGCCAGGCCACATAGATGGATGCCATCCCAGGTAGGTAGTACAGAGCCATAACCACCGCGTGGGAGCCACACGTGCTTAATGCTTTCACCTGAGCATTCTTTGAGGAGAGATTGAAGACTGCCTGGAGAATTAGGGTATAAGAAGCAGCAATGAAGGCCACATCGGAGCCCACGATAATGGAAGAACCAATTAGACTATAAAGGCTACTGGACGTGGTGTCTGTGCATGCTAACTTGGCCACAGCCATGTGCTCACAGTAGGAATGGAGAACTATGTTGGAGCCACAGAAAGGTAGATGACTCACCATATAACTTAATGGAGTCATGAATATGACAGCTCTGATGGTGATGGTCATACTCATTCCCAGCATCACTTGAGGCGTGAGAATACTCTTGTAGTGTAGAGGCTTACAGATGGCTACATAGCGGTCAAAAGCCATGACCAGCAGCAGCCCTGTCTCTATAGCTGTGGTTACGTGGATAAAATACATCTGAGTGAAACAAGCATTGAAGCTGATAGAGCTGCCTCCTGAGGAGAAGATGCTCACCATCTTGGGCACCACAGAGGATGCCATAACAATGTCCACAGCAGCCAGAACACAGAGGAGGCAGAACATGGGCTCTTGTAGAGTGGAATCCATCCAGATTATGGTCAAGATGAGGGTGTTTCCTAACAGGGCTATGATATACATGGCACTCATCAAGATAGCCAGCCAAAGATGTGAAGATTGCAAACCTGGGATACCCACAAGGAAGAAGGTGGCAGGGGTTTCCGTTGTGTGGTTGTAGGGTGTCCCCAGCATCACAGATGAGACCGTTTTCCTGTTAATGCATAAAATGATGTAAGAAAAGGATGCAATCCTCTGAGATTTACTCCCAGCTGTGGTGTTAAGGAAGCCTGGTGGTATTGTCAGCTCAGAACTAGAAAACTTACATCTGACAAAGTTATCTTGCCCCACCTCCCATCCACCTCATTATTCTTTGCCTCATTATTCATCATTCAAAGATTGACTGATGGGTTACCTCCTTTGGAAGTCTCTTCAGCTCTACTTCCTCCACCATTCCATGTCAAAGCTAAATTATGTACCTTCTGAGCTTTCATGGAATCTCACAGGGACCGCTGAGGGACCTAAATTAACAATTCCAATGCTCTACCCTTGACTTTATTGTATTCAATCATATGTGCCTTAGTCATGGACTTATACCTTATACCAAGTTTGTGATACATGGCTGTGGTGTGCAAGTCCATTAAAAGAAGATTCACAGGGAATATAGTTAACAATCCTATATAATAAAAGCATAGTATGCAAATTGTCCCCTCGACCAGGAGTTCCTCTGGAAGTTCGACCAGGGGGTGGGGCCAGCCAAGAAAAAAAAATAAAAAATAAAAGAAGATATGTGTGCTCATTATAGCAAACAGATGAATGAATGAGAAATCATAAGTTTTTTATCTTTGTGTGTTCAGTTCCTAATATTTAATATTTTTAAATGAAACAATGAACTTCCTGATATTAAACATGTCGTATTTTGTATCCCCAGTATAGTGCTATACAAAAGATGAATGAAAAATCCTTCTCGTTAAAAAAAAATGTATTGGTGAATTCATGAAAATCATCAAGATCATTATAAAACAACATAAGTTTTCATAGGCGATAATAAACTGTCTGGAAATATTTATAATCCTTACCTTTTCTTTACTTCAACCTGGATTTCCTTGTTGAGCTAGGTTCATTTAATAGATTAAATAACTGCAAATAAAACTTTAGGGCTCCTTTGTAGATGACCCCCCAATAGGTTTTTATGATTCTTCAATATAAATAACTTCGTGGTCTATAAGCTACAAAGACATTCCAAATTACAATAAAGCTTTATTATTTAGAATTTTGGGGATATGATTACAAATCATGGTCTTTATTGAACCAGACAAACCACCACTAACAACAACAAAGCCTAAACGTAAGAGATGCCTTATAATGGAAGAGACTGAATAAAGTAATAAGCTCTGCTTCATGGTCAGATTAAAAGAACCTTGAGGTGCCCTGGCTGATTTGACTTGGTGGGTCGAGTGTTGGCCTGCAGACTGAGGTGTTCCAGGTTTGATTTCGATCAAGCGCACATGCTCGGGTTGTGGGCTCAATCCCCTGTGTAGGAGGCAGCCAGTCAATGATTCTCTCTCATCACTGATGTTTCTATCTCTCCTCCCTTCTTTTCTGAAATTAATAAAAATATATTTAAGTAAACAAAACAAAAACAAAAAATCTTGATGTGTATAGTCACTGAAATATCACATCTTCAGTGATAGATCATGAGAAGACAAAGGAAAGCTTTTTTATATAGAATGGAAGTGAAGAGCTATCAGGTTATCGGAAATTATTCAGGTTATCCTTAAGACTGCTGTGTGTTTTCTGGATGCCACACGCTCAGAATTGAGCATCACTGCTTAGAGGGCTGGAAAAGAGTCTGAGGAACGTTCTACCCACCCCCGACCCCCCACACCTGCCTCTGAGTCGGGATCTCCAGGATCTCCCTCTCCTGGATGGCTGCCCTGTACATCTACCTTTCTTCTTCTGTGCACTGCTCATCCCTCCTCTCTGCACTCTGGCAAATTCTAGCTGGTCATATTTTTCATTCCTTTGAGGCTTTTATTTTCCTCAAAAATTTTTCTTCTGAATTAATTCTGCTAAGAGGTTCATATATTTTATTAGTCTTTTTAAATGATAGGACATTTGGTTTGTTGATCATATTTTTTTTATTTCACTCTTCAATCTATTGTTACTGAGAAGTTTCTTCTAAGATCAACAATGATCTCCATCCATGCATGCCCAGTTACCAGTCTAATGACTTCTTTTCATTTTTTTAATTTTACCTGACCTATCCAAAACATTTCCCATTACTGCCTATTCCTTCAATTTTTATTCTATTTTACATGCTGTAAAATGCACAAATCTCAGGTATGCAGCTTTATTATGTTTTATAAAGTGAACACACATGACCACTACCCAGTGCAAGATACAGACACAGTTGCTTCCTGGTTGTTAAGGTGGTCTTCAGAAAGCTCTGATCAAGAGCTCTCTTAAAACACTTCCAACCCAGAACCAGCCTCTGCCTTCAGCCCTGCCGTGACATCCACATAAAAACCTGGAGGGCCAATCACTGAAGAAAAGCTTAGATAAGTCACTGAACTCCAAGAAATGAACCATAGGAGATGTGAGGATTTTCCATCAAAGGATGGGAAATACACAATCTAAAATTGTTTAAAAGTAAAGGCAGTAATCCATATTACAGAGCCTTTGTGTTTATGCCTCCCCGCTACAACCAAATAAAGATGCTCCCAATCAGGCCTACTGCTCTGTTTCTTATAATTCCTGTGGTCTCTGAAAACTGTCTCTCCATTATACCAGGATGGAACTTACCCCTTTCTCTCTCAGCTTTGAACCAAAGCAGTCATGTGTCCCCTGCTCTCTCCCTCTCTCCCATCCTCTCAACATTTCCAGAAGGTGATCTTGACATCACAAGTACCCACCCGACTTGCCCAGACCTTTAAATGGAGTGGAAGGCTTATCTCTCCTTTCTAGGGTGACCCTGGCTTTCAGACTCATCAGCCCATCACCCAGTCCCAGGTCAATTACCCACATCCCTGGAGTTTTCTCTAGTCAATGTCCTCTGATGTGTCCACATGTCTTTTACTCAAAAGAATGGAGATTTATACAGGATCCTTCAGGGGAGCTGAAATAGCAGCTTAAGATCAAACATGAACAACAGAGAGTCATGGTGAGAAGCATTGCCACTTTCAAAGATGTCCCACTGGGAGCCTTCTTTCCTCCTTAGGTTTTCTATCATCCTGCTTTTTCCCTGGACACCCCAGCTCCCCTTGGCCTTTGCCCAACAGCCAAACACTGTAACTCCTCCAGAGACGGGCTTTTCTCTGTGCTCTGGCCCCTGAGGTTTTCCAGATTGCAGGAGGAGGCAAATGCTTAGTGGATAAAGAATCTGTGTTTCTTCAAGTCCTCAGAGGGTACCTCAGAGTGAGAAGAATGTAGAGTGCATCCTGAAAAGAAAAGGAAACACCTACATTAGTTAGATTTGTGAAAGCCTGTTATGTGCCAAGCACCTTGCTGAAGGCTTTTCCCGAAGATGATCTCATTCCATTGTCATAACCCTCTAGAGTAGCTGCCACTATTACATCTTCATTTTAGAGATGAAATTGAGGGACAGAGAAGGTCACAAAGCTAGTAAGCCAGAGACAGGATTCGAATTCTAGCAATCATAATTCATTTCATTGTTGTAGAACTCTTCACACTGATAACATACTTACTCTCTCAAAGTCCACTCCATTGTTCAGTTCAGTTCAGTTCTGCCTGGGGGCTTGAGGTGGGCTTCACTGTTTCAATATTTCTCATGACTCTCTGTTATAAAGTCCTATTTGAATAAATAAGGAAAATAGAGTGTAAGGGAATCAAGGAAGATAAGCTTTTCAAACTAAGGGAAGGGCAAAGATACGAAAAGACAAAATATTCTCCAGAGAATAAACCGGAGAAGGTAGAGTTGTAAGCTAAGTACTTGAAAAAGAATGAAAATAAATGAGGCCAGGAAATAAATGAGGTGCATAGTTCATATGTTAAAAATCATGACTTCTGCCCGGGCATCATCACGGTGCAGAAATAAAGTGAAGAGAAAGAAGCCAACAAGCACAAGATTTAAAATTAATTTTTTAATGGCAAAGGATGTGGAGACATAAGGAAATATGAAAAATCAGGAGTTGATGCTACCTGCTCCCAGTGCCCCAGGTCCTCAGGGACATAGTTACTACCAGTGATGGTGATTGGTGAGAGGCCTTTCTTTCCTTTGGGGGGGGGGGGGGATTAAC